ATAAAATAGACTATTATTGTCTTGACCTGAGTGATGTCGTTGTGTGAGTAAAAGACACGAAGCTCGCTGTCACGTTTCGTTTAAAAACTTGTTTAAATTATAAAAAATATAAATAAAATCGTGTTACAACATCATTTAATAAAAAACAGGTTGAGTTCGGGTTCGGGTTGAGATTTTTATAATTTTTTGTGTACAAGTCGGGTTCGGGTTGAGTTTTTTATAATTTTTTTGTGTACAAGTCGGGTTCGGGTTACCAATTGTAAATTTGTACGGGTTCGGGTTGGGTATTTATTCATTATTATTATGATGACCCGTGCAGGCCTCTAATCATAAGATTTTTTTAATTACGTTTTGTGTCTGTATTAGTTAATGATCGACATTATCCGTTGTATCGAGATATTTTTATTATGCTCGAACATATACTGTAGATTTAAAAAAAAAAAATCCGCTAAATCGAATATATTAATATATGAAAAATCCGTTAAATCCGTTAAATCGAGATAAAATAATTATAGAAAGATTTGGTTTTGAAAATTTATCCTAAATCCACTAAATCGAGATACACTGTGTATATGTGATCGACTCTGTTTGTAAATCATATGATGTGGGACACCCCATCAATTATGGCGCAATAAAATGGCTCGAGGTAATAATTTTTTAATTAAAGTTCATTTTAATTAATAATAATAATAATAATAATGATAATTTTATTCAAATAATTAAATAAAATAACTAAAAGCATATAATGTTGGAGTTTTAACAAGTATGTAACTTTCCACATTGATCTTAATTTCAACTTTTTTTAAAATATAATAGTATTTTATATAATATATGATGTTTAAAAGTTAGTGATACTGCTTCAAAAGATAAATTAAAAGATTTAAGTGGTCCCACTATTATTGAGTTATTATCAACATCAACATCCTCAATATCAGAAAAATATAAAAACCAATTTAACATTGCCAACAAAGAAGTTGTACCAGATGATTTTACTGAAATACAAAAGGTGGTAATTCAATGGTGTGATAAGGAGAAACTTGATGTTGTGCTGACGACAGGTGGTACAGGATTTGGTGTCAGAGATATTACACCAGAAGCTATACAACCTTTATTAAATAAAACATCACCTGGGATAACTCATTTATTGATCTCATCATCACTTCAGAAAACACCATTTGCAGCCTTAAGTAGACCAATTAGTGGTATACGTGGTGAGACAATTGTCATAACATTACCTGGTAGTCCTAAAGCTGTAAAAGAAAATTTGGAAGCCATTATAAACATCTTACCTCATGCAATTGATTTAGTTAAAGGTGGCACTGGTGAAAATGTTCATACAAAATTAACTGGTAATAGTGGTGGTGGTCATGATTGTTCACATAATCATAATTATGATGATAAACAGAAAACAATTAAACCTGATTTACTTTCATGCCCTGGTAAAGATTAAATTTCTACATCATTTTTCTTAATTTATTAATTTTATTAATTTATTATTTATTTGATTTTTTTTTGGTGGGGAAAAAGTCACAAAACGTCAACGCAAATCACCATACCCAATGATTTCAGTTGAAGAAGCATTGAAAATCATTGAAAATGATGTTCAAGAACTATCAAAAGTTGTTATAACTGTTCCTGTCAATGAAAATTTGATTGGTTATGTTTTTGCAGAAGATGTTTTGGCAAATGAAAATGTTCCAGGGTATCGTGCTTCAACTGTCGATGGATATGCTGTTATTAGTTAGTGTTTTTTTATGTTCTCATATGCACACATTTATATTATTATAAATTTTGAATAATTTTATTTTTTATTTTTTAATTGTAGCAAGTGATGGACCAGGAATTTATCCTGTTGTGGGAACTTCTATTGCTAGTGGTATTGGATCAGAAAAATTGATGATAAAATCAGGTCAAATTGCTAGAATCACAACTGGAGGACCTGTTCCTAATGGTGCTAATGCTGTTGTTATGGTTGAAGATACTTCTCTTGTTAAAGCATCCGAAGATAATCTGACTGAACAATCTGTGGAGATCCATGTTCAAGTAAATGAAATGGTAAATAAATAGGATTTATACAATATTTGTTTGTATATATTTTGTGGTGTTATATTGATTTTAATTATTTATTGTAAGGAAAATATTAGAGAGATTGGATCAGACACCAGTATTGGTATGATTGTTGCTAGAAAAGGTGAATTGGTGTCAGCTGTAGGTGGTGAGATAGGTGTTTTGGCATCAGTAGGAGTTAAAGAAGTAATGATTTATTTTTTTATTATGTCAAACCTAAAAATAAATATAAAAATAAATAATATTTTTCCTTTTTATTATTAATTATTAGGTAAAAGTTTATAAAAAAATGGTGTTTGGAATATTGTCCACTGGTAATGAAGTGATTGATTATAAGGACACAAATGAACTAAAATATGGGCAAATACGTGATAGTAATCGACCTACACTTTTGTCAATTGCAAAAGCTATTGGATTTGAAGTTTTTGATTTTGGGATTGCTGTAACTGTAATTGTTGTTGTAATTGTGGCTGATTTTGTTGTATTTTTATTTGCATCTGTGGAACTTGTGTATGTGTGATTTGAGCCTGTGTTTGTTGAAGAATTGGAGATTGTTGTTGTGGAATTGGAGATTGTTGTTGTTGTTGTTGCTGCTGCTGATGTTGCTGTTGCTGCTGTTGTTGTTGCTGCTGCTGCTGTTGTTGTTGCTGCTGCTGCTGCTGCTGTTGTTGTTGTGATGTGCTAGCAACAGGTAAAGGAGTATTAAGAAATAGCATTCCCACCAAAATTCTCTTTAAACCTACAAAAATAGCAATACCACCATTTGGATTTGGGGCTTTAGGGAAACGAATTGTAAGTGCATATTTATTTTTTTCTAAAAAATCAACCATCCCTTTGAATTTTGAATCCTCTTGATTTGGAGTGGGAAGTAGTGAAACCACTAACGAACTAGTTCCAGCATCTTTTATATCTTTAATTGGAATAGCTCCTGATATCTCCATTTTTTCAGGCCAATATTGAGTCATGAAGTCAGTTGGCATGTGTTTTCCAAGTTGATATGGGATAACATTTACATGACAGTTTAATTCATTTTGCTTCCACACAATATTACCATTCCATATAGATATCGAAATAAGTTTTTGAGGCATGGGTATAACATTTTGAGTATTTATATTAACATTTGGATTAGGTGAAAAGGCATTTAAATTGGAAGGTGAGGTTGTTGATCCTGTAGCAATAGCATTGTGACTAATAATATTGACATTAGCAGCAGCATTAGTTGGTAAACGTGGCGAAGCAGTAGCAATAGTTGCATTAGTTGAAGCTGTCATCATTTGTGCTGCCATTTGATTTGTTGTAGAGTTGTTGACACTAGTAGCAGCATTCATGAGGTTGAGATTATTGTTGTTATTAATGACGGTAGGGTTAGTGACAGTTGTAGTACTAATAACATTATTGTTGTTGATATTATTAATAATAGGAGTACCAGGTTGTGGATTTTGTGAGTTAACATTGGTCATTGTAAATCCTTGTCTGTTCATACCACCATTATTGTTAGTACCATTCCCACTGTTTGTTGCTGTACTCAAAGGATTGAAATTAGTTAGGGAATTATTGAATTGTTGATTAAATGCAACCTGAGGTGTTTGCTGCTGTTGATTTTGCAAAGGAGTATGGATGTTCAAATGGGATGCAGTATTTTGTGTTAGTTTGTTCTGAAGCAGTTGTTGTTGTATCAGTTGTTGTTGAGTGCTGTTGCTCAATGCTGGATTTCTTAGCAATTGAGCAGCAGCAGCAGCATTTTGACGACTGTAAATTGCAATTAATTGATTACGTCTTTCAGGTGTTATGTTTTTGTTGTTGATTAAATTGGCAAGATTTTGTTGATTATGTAAATTTTTATACATGGCAGCTTGTTGAGCAACTGTTTGTTGAGCAGCACCAGAAGATTGAGTATTCAAATTTTGTGCAGACTTTTGAGCATTTGGATTATTCATCCTATTCTGTTGCTGTATTTGTAATTGTTGAAATTTTTGGATTCGTAATTGTTGGTTCTGCAATTGTTGTTGTTGCTGCTGTTGTTGCAACTGCAATTGTTGTTGTTGTTGCTGTTGTTGTTGCTGGCGTAACTGTTGTTGTTGTAATTGTTGTTGTTGTAATTGTTGTTGTTGTTGTTGTTGCTGTTGTTGCAATTGCTGCTGCAATTGCTGCTGCTGCTGCTGCTGCAGTTGTTGTTGTGCTACTTGTGGAGATTGATGTTGTTGTGCTACTTGTGGAGATTGATGTTGCTGTGGTATTTGAGGAGAAGATGACAATTTAGGAGTTTTTTGTTGTTGAAGATTATTAGTATTAGTGGACTGAATGGATTGTAATTGAACAACAGTATTGTTTGGTTCAACAGAGAGAGTTTGAGAATTTTGTCTTTGAGGATTTGGTGAAGATAATTGAATGATAACAGGAGAATTTGATAATTTTGAAGGACTGGATTGTTGAATGGGTAGAGTAGTATTTATATTCATCTCCATATCATTTTGGCTTTGATTTGCATCAATTAAAGGTGTAGATGATGAAGATTGAATTAAATCATTTGTTTGATTGTTATTGCTACTATTTCCATTACCATTGATAGCATTGTTATTGTCATTGTCATTATCATTAGAACCAAGTCTAAGTCTCTTGGCACCATGAGGCAATGGGCTGTTGTTTTCTTGATTTGCTTTTTCACCAGTTGTATAATCATTGATATTATTATTAGCATTGGTGGCATCAATATCCATGTGAGTAGCAGGGTCAATATTTTCATTGCTATTAGCATTGTCATTATTTTTTTCAGCACTCAATTCATCTGGTTTTCTTTTTACTCCTATATTGGCTAAATAATACATATACATAAATATATAATTTCTCATTACCACCACCTAACATTTATCACATATCATGAAATGGTAAAGAGATGGAGTAGATCTTACCTTCTTTTTGTTTTGTAAAGCTTACTTTAAATCCTGCTAATTTGACTACATGTGAAGGTGCAACTACATCCTTGGCTGTGTAAACTTCTATATCATGGTTTACCTATATTATATATTATATTAATATATAATATATGATTATACTTTATATTATATTATATATGTAAGAACAAACCTTTACTACAACATTTTCTAATTCATTGTAACAACTTTGAGGCGTTATAAAAGAAAGACGGATATTTTTCTATTATCAATAGACCCCTCAATTTATAAGTTTACTTATTCATAAATTTCAGAAACAAACAATCAATCAATAAGTTGATCAGTCAGTTAGATACTTACTTTTTTCATTTCATCTATTATATTATCCATGGTAAACATATCATACTTGTCATGCAAATTGTGATGAACAGGATCAATACATGGAAGACTATTTGATATCAATATACAGTGTTTTTTTTGTATATTGGACCTTTTGTTGTTTCTTTCATACACATCAAACATCTATTATGATGGATAGAGGTGTGAAGATAAAAATATAATTGATGGATATATACTAATTCTATCATAATAATGATAGTATTTTTACCTCAAGAGCAGCAACTAATCCTTCAGCAACTGGGTTTTCATAGACTTTACCACCTTCAAAATCAATTGCTTTAATAAGTTCTTCAAACTCATTTAGTCTTGATTTGAAATAATGTGATGTTGTAACTCTACGGGAACATCGCCCATATCCCCCAAAAATAACTAATCCAAGATTTAATAATGGCTATAAAGAATATGTAATGTACATGTTAATTTTTCTCTTCCACTACTACTATTAGCAGTAGTTAATGTATAGATGTAATGTTTTTAATTATATACTTACAGCCATTCGATCTTTCTTTTCTGCATCTTCTTTTTCAACGATTATAGGTGATTTCAAATAACTGATTAATTTAAAAAATGGTTAATAGATTATTTATTAATTTAATAATAAAAAAAGAAGAATTAATAAATTACTTTAAGATAGGATCTAAGTATGCCTCTCGTATAGTTTCGAAATGTTCTTCAAGACGATAAGTGCCTTCTAGGACTACAACCACCAAATATTCTGGTGTTTGTGCAGTTATTGGAAACATTTTGTGATAATGAAAATTTTTTTTTGTAAATGTATTTATTTCCCCTTTTTTGTAATTTTTGTAATACGAATTACCCAATTTGTTTTTCTAAAAATTTGAGGTTCTAAATTAATAAAAAATGGTAAAAGCTGTTAAAGGTATTTTTTTACTTGTTATTAGTTTATTTAACAGTATTAATTAATATTGATATTAATAATAATATGTTAAAAAAGGTGCCAAGGTTAAATGGTAAAAGATCTAATTTTCCTTTATTTCCTTTCTTTTTTTGCCAATTTTCTATTTTAATATTCATTTCTTTTGTTGTAATATATTTGTAGTGACCCAACAGTTAAACAATTGATTTATAGATTGAATGAAAAACACAAATTTATAATAGAAGATTTGGACGATAATCATTTATTTGTTGATGCTAAT